CCTCCTCCTCCTGCTGGGAGATCTGTTGGGTTCTCGTGGGAGGAGGGGGAGGAGGAGGAGCGGGCCAACCGCTTTGCTTCGAAATTTTGCGAACGGCGTAGTCCCCACGCTCCTCCTCCTCCTCCTCCTCCTCCTGCTCTTCCTCCTCCACCTCCTCCTCCTCCTCCTCGGCGGACCAACCGCTTTGCTTTGTAGTTGTCAAACGTAACTCCTCCCCAGCGGACCATCCGCTTTGCTTATTCATGTTTGCAGCGGTCTGTCCGCTTTGCTACGCAGGCATGCTTATGCGATGTTGTATTATTGTTGATTATTTGTTATCGTCTCTTTTTTTGTAAAAAATGTTCAATATTTGTCCTGTTTTCACAATTTGTCGCTATTTTCGCTATTTGTCACTATTCTTCACTATTTTTCATTATTGTTTCACTATTTTTCATGTTTTGTTTTTACTGCTTTTCACTTTTACACTATATGTTGATACGATTCTATAGAAATCTATAGGACGATATGGCTTTCTGTAGTCTTCGCGGTCATCAAAGTGGGAGGAGGTCCTCGGGGCTGGGTCCTGGAAGGTCCCGGGGACCTCGGAATTCTGGGTCCTGGGGTGTCCCGTGGTCGAGCGTCCAGGAGGCCCGTTCGGTTTGGGAGGGGGACGGAGGAAAGAGGAGAGATGAACATGGAAGGAGGAGGAGGGATGGAAGAGAAGGCGTGGTAGAATGCCTCGTCTCTTGGCCCGCTGAGGCTTTGTGTGGGCCCCGGGACCCCCAGGGGGTGAGTCGCATCTGACGCGGGAGCCCCCCCCTGTTCCCTCCCGGGTTTCCCCCCGGGACCCCCCCCGGGACTCCCTGGGGACCCCCCCCCCCGCCCCCCCCCCCCCCCTGGCAGGGAAGGAATCAAAGGGAAAGGGCTTCCTTTCGACTCAATGACACCGTTGCTCTGGAGGGAGAGGCTCTGGAAAAGCGGGAGGGGAGCGGCGACGGGCCCAGGGAAAAGGGGGAGGGGGGAGGAGGGGAAATGGGCCCAGGGAAAGGGGGAGCGCAAGGACAGACGACTGGCCCAGAGACAGGGCGGGCGCAGGGAAAGGGAACGACGGAGACGACGGCGAACGAACGACGGGAACGGACAAGCCCCTCACATACGCCGACACAGGGTCGGCGGATTCCTGCTCTTCTTCCTTCTCTTCATCATCACCGTCATCAGCAGCATCATCATCATCATCATCTTCAGAATCACATCCTCCTCCTCTTCCCTCCTCTTCTCCGCTTCCTCCGCCATGCCAGGGGTGACCTCGTACTCTCGATGCCGCTCCCAGGAGACGCCCTCGTCAGGGATGCCTTCAAACAGGTAACGTTTGAGCCTGGTCCTGTCTCCCTCCTCCATCATTCTTCTAGCGTGGCATCTCGGAGCTCTTTCCTCCTCCTTTTCTCCGCCCCGATGTTGTTTTCTCCCTGCCCGCCCCAGGCATTTTGCTCGCGCCTCGGCTCCAACAGTTTCCTCCGACGGACCAGCCAGGTGCGCCCAGACTTCTGCCAGAGCACGATTCGACAACAGCCGTGTAATCAAACAGTTCGTTTGGGTCTGACCCTTGCTCGCTCCTTCCTGGGTGGCTCAGAGTTTCGAACATGTTTGAAGCGAGACGGGTCGGACCACCTCTGGCACGGCATCTGGTAAACCAGTTGCCAGGATGTTCCAAACCAGGCGCGCCAGACCATTTCGCGCCCTCTTTTTGTTCATAGCCCGGAGCTGCGAGGATGTCCCAGGCGATGCGAGCTAGACCACCCCACGCACATGATGAACAAACGTGACATCGGGACAAAACAAACGTGTGTGTGTGTGTGCTTTTTTTTCCCACAGACAAGCGTGTGTGTGTGTGTGTTTTCCCACAGCGCGTGTGTTTTTCCCACAGACTGTGTGTGTGTGTGCGTGTGTGTGTGTGTGTGTGTGTGTGTTTGTGTGTGTGTTGTGTGTATATGTTTTTCCCCCCACGGGCGCGCCAAGTCTTTTGTTTGCCCAACTTCTGGGCCCAGGGCCATCGCGGATGGACTCGGTTCTGAGCATGGCGGGGGAATATGGGTTCTTGGGCTCCGGCTACGGTGTCAACATCGGATTTCAAGGTCGGGGAATGAGTTACCAGTTTGAAACATATCCCTTTCCCTATGTTTGCCATCGCCTCACCTCGATGCCGATCTTAAGGATTCCTTGATCTTCTGAGGGCATATCCCTAAGATTGTCCTCGCTGTTGGCTCGCCCATCTTAGGGATAGGTATCCGTTCGAGGCTGGTTAATGAAAGAATCGCGACGGGAGGTGTGTGTGTGTGTTGTTATTTTCGGCTTTTGGGTCCCCCGACTGGCCCCAGGACCTTGAAAATACCGGCTCTGAGGGGAAGCTGGGCCAAGGGGAGGGGTCGAGACATCATGGGGGCCGACGTAATGAATATAGATCATGACGGTGGGGGTCGGGAGACCCAGATCAATGACGTCATGATTTGGAGTGCTGGCTCCGGTGCCTCGCTTGAACCATCCTGGATATCTGCTCTGATCGCGGAGCGAGTTTGCGGGGGGGGGAGGGCAAAACGAGCAAGTTTTTTCAGACATCTCCTGCCACCCCCGTGGGGTGTTGGAGCTGGACTCTTGCTAGGGGCATTTTCACAACCTGCTCCGATCGCAGAGGAGTCTGGGAGGGCCACAGAAGCAAACTGCCCGAGACGAACCCCGCAATGTGGCCGCGAACAGGTTAGTGTAGGCACCCCTGGTGGCTCCGCTTTGGGGTGCTTATGCGAGCCCATCGCTCGTGATATCTTCGCGGATGTGCCAATCTGAGTGGGCGTGAGTCTTGGGATGCGAGTCTGAGCGTGATTGGATTTGGGTGCGAGTGGGTCTGTGTGTGGGCGGGTTTGGGTGTGCATGAGTCTGAGTGCGGGTGAGTCTGAGTGAGAGTGAGTGTGAGCATCAGAGAGTCGGAATGTGAGCGAGTCTGGGTGTAAGGGAATCGGAGTACGAGCGAATCTGAGTGTGAGTCAGTGAGCGAGCCAGGCAAAGTACGAACGGGTTTGGGTGCCAGTGTGAGAGGGTCTGCGTATGGGCGAGTGTTAGCAAGAGAGATGGGAGGAGGAGGAAGGGGATGAGGTGATGAGCAGGCGAAGGCTGCATCGAAATGACAAGCAATCATTTCAGGATAGGGTAAATTCTACCAGGGGTCGACGCAGAGATTGCAGATGGGGGATGGGGAATACGGGTCACCCTCCACTCATGGTTCCTTTTGCTCTTCGCAGCCCTTTCTCATAGTTTAATGTCCTGTCGTACTCCCCATTCGCCATCCATCGTTGTCGCCCTCGTCCTCCATAGTCTTGTACCTCGCCCGTTTCCACATCTTCATCCTCATCATTCTCCTTTCTCGTTCGTCACCTGACTCCTCCCATGATGAGGGGGTGGGCGGTGGCGAGGGGGAGGATGAGAATATGGCCGGCCGGGAAATGAATATTCAGTTGATGAGGAAGACGGTGTTGAACGCGGACGGGGATGATGATGCCGACGTCGACGGCGTTGATGATGACGACGCCATGTATGATGATGATGATGATGATGATGATGGTGATGGTGATGTTGATGTTGATGGTGATGATGATGATGATGAGGGTGATGAGGGTGATGAGTATGAAAATGATTATGATGTTGATGATGCTGGTGGTGGTGGTGGTGACGATGATGCTGATGATGTTGATGATGCTGATGTTTGTGCTGCTGCTGATGATGCTGGTGATGGTGGTGATGGTGATGTTGAAGGGGCTTTCCTGGGACCGTTGAGGGGCCCTCCAGAAAACATTGAGGGTCCTGGGGCTCTCCTGAGATACTGCATGAGGCCCTCCTGAGAACCTTACAAGATGAGTGAAGCACTTCAACAGAAGACTTCGAAGTATTTTCTGCGAACTGGGCAGACCGAGTTGGCTACTTAGATAAGCACTTCGCTTTGATTCATACGATACTCAGAGCAGACTCAGCTGCGAGACTTCGAAGAGACTCAGGGGAATCTTAGCAAGCGAGTTCGCACATATTTCAGCAAGTCCAGCTAAGTACTTGGCAAGGCGAACTACGTACTCGGCTAAGTACTTAGCTGAGTACTTTGCTTCGGGTTGGACGTCTACTGCGAAGTGACTTAGCCCATTTTTTGGGCAAGGCACTTCTATGTAGTCTAAGTACTCGGCAAGTCTGCGAAGTACTTGCAAGAGCCCTGGACCACCCAAGCGGGGGTCGACGTCATCAAACAAGGAAAACACGACGCCAGCTGCGTGGGAGGAGTGGACCCCGAGGTCTGGGCGCTGCAACCAGAGATCCAACATGTTGAACAGTCACGGCGGAGGTTTCTTGTTCCTGGAGGGTGAACTATGGGAGGAGGGGCCCAAGATGAACATGATTGGGAGAGGGGACCCCGAGATCGACTTTTCGACCCCGTCTTTCTATGCGGCGCTTCCCGGGCGGGATCGATCTGCGAGAGCCTCGGGGCATGATGCGAGACATACGTTTATTTGTCACTCGAGTCGGAGATGGACTACAGCATGGATTGACCCCAACTGCGAGTAATGTTTCGCAGACCTCATGAACTGTTTGTTCCTACTTTCGTAGATTCGACAAACACACTTCTTGGGTAAACCAATTTTGAACCAATTTTGTGGTCGGTCTCCTACTCGAGTGACGCGCGGACCTGAGGAGAGGATGAGGGATGACCTATACATGCTTTTTGCTTCCACCTTTCCCGAGAGGCTTGGAGCCCTCCCGGAGGGCCCGCTGTTCATCCCGAGTCGTTGTTTGGCGATCCCGTGGCCTGGCAGGGGCTCCCAGAGGCCGAAAACAACCAATAGTTTGACCCTTTCCTTTCCTTCACGCAGCGAGGATGTCAGCGGAGGGGCCCGGGCGTTCCGCGATCTGCTGTTTGAGCCCGTTTCTGGGGTGCCTGCGGGGTGCGCGCAAGCCAGGGGAGGCACAAGGGTGCGGGGAAGCCGGGGGAGGCACAGGGGCCTCGTGAGCGAGGCGCTGGACGACGGCTGCACCGCCCTGCTCCTGCTGAAGTCTGGCGGCATGGCGGGGCGGGAAGCGGGCGCACACCGCCCGGAGGCGGCGGAGGAGGGGGATTTACGAGCGGCGGACGTATCCATATCCACGCGCGGTCTGGATTCCGGGACGCGATCCCGCGGATACCCGGTCGCGCGGATACGTTCCGCGAGGGGCATTCGCGAAATCATGTCCCCGCGGGGTCGCGGGCGGCCCAGGGGCCCGGCCCGCGACACCACGGGTATGTATTATTCTGTTTTTGTCCCGCATGTTTCGTGGTGTTCTGGTTTTCTGCCCTCCCGCGTCGCACCCGCGTTTCTCACACACCCTCTCATCCTCACCTCTCCTGTCCTGCTCCTCCTCCTCCTCCTCATCCTTGCACCGCACACGCGTCGCACCCCCATCTCCTACCAGACGCGTGCACCACATGCGCGGCATTGACATGGGGCACGCGGTCACATACAGCCGTGCCGCAGCATACATACACACAGCACACATGCAGCACATAACACAAGCACATGACACAATCGCGGCATTGACACGAGACACACGGCCACCGACAGCCGCACCCACATAAGACACATGGCACACATACACGGCACCTATATGAGACACGCGTCAACATACAGTCACACACATGCAGTCTTTCTCCTTTGGCGACCCCAATCCCGCACGCACACCATACAGCGCTAGTGCAGACCTGGCGTGTTCATTCCACCATGCACCCAAGACGCGTACGCCACATACTGGGCACCCACATGACGCGGTCGCCATACGTGGCATTTCCTCGACACCACAGAGGCTGCGCTGGGGGAGTGGGGGCGGTATCCCTTTCGGGTTCGAAAAGCGAGGTAGTCGTGGCACTTCCTCGGCACCACAGGGGGTGCGCTGGGGGTGGGAGCGCTAGCAGTTTCGGGCTCGCAAGGCGAGGCAGGCGTGGCACTTCCTCGGCATCACAAGGGGCGAGCTGGGAGTGAGGGCGCCATCAGTTTCGGGCTCGCAAAGCGAGGCAGGCGTAACATTATCTTGACACCAACTGAGGTGTGCTGGGGGTGGGGGCGGCATCCGTTTCGGGCTCGCAGGGCGTGGCGGGCATCGTTTATCCTCGACACCGCAGGGGGGTGCTCGGGGTAGGACGTCATCCGCGTCGGGCTCGCAACGCTTGGCAGGCTCGCGTGGCACATCCTTGGCATCGCAGGGGGTGCGCTGAGGGTAGGAGCGCTACCCGTTTCGGGCTCGCAGAGCGTGACAGGCGTGGCACTTCCTCGGCGCAACACGGAGTGCGCTGGGGGTGAGTGCGCTATACGTTTCGGGCTCGCAGCGCGTGGCAGGCGTAACAGTTTCTCGGCACCAGAGGAGTGCTCTGAGGGTTGGGACGCTAAACATTGCGGCAAGCAAAGCGTGGCAGGCGCGGCACTTCCTCGACACCACAAGGGTTGAGTTGTGAGGGGGGTGCGTTATCCGCTTCGGGCTCGCAGCGCGTAACAGGCGTGGCCTTTCCTCGACACCGCACGGGGTGCGCAGGAGGTGCGGGCGTTATCCGCCGCGCGCGTGCAAAGCGTCGCAGGCGTACTTTCTCTGCGCAGAGGGTGTTTGCGCAGGGGGGTGGGGCCGCCATCCGTCGCACGCTCGCAAATCGTCGCACGCGACACCACAGGGGGTGCGGGGTAGGTAAGGGGGCGCTATCCGTCGCACGCTCGCACAGCGTGACAGTCCTGGCACTTTCTCGGCACCGCTGGGGGTGCGCAGGATGTGTGTGGCGCTGTCCGCGGTAGCTTCGCAGAGCGTGGCAGGCGTGGCCCCCTCCCCATTGACACCACAGCGGGGGAGCGCAGCGGGTGGGGGCGCCATCCGTCGCACGCTCGCAAGGCGTGGCAGTCGTGGCACGTTCTCGACACCGCAGGGGGGTGCGCAGGAGGTGGGGGCGCCGTCCCCCGTACGCTCGCACAGCGTGGCAAGCATGGCACCGTCTCGAAGCCAGGGGGGGTTGCGGAGGGGGTGCGGGCGCCATCAACCGCACGCTCGGACAGAGTGGCAGTCGCGGCAAGTTCTCGACACCACAAGGGGTGCGAAAGGGGGTGGGAGCGTCATCCGTCGTGCGGTCGCAGGGCGCTGCAGGCGTGGTATTTTCGCAGCACCACTCGGGGGGGGGGGGGGGGGGGGGGCGCTGGGGTTGGGGATGCTATCAGCCGCACGCTCGAAAAGCGTGGCAGGCGTGGCACCTTGTCGACACAGCACTGGTTGCGCAATACGTGGGGGCGTTTTACGTCGCACGCTTGCAAAGCGTGACAGACGCACACGTTCTCGGCTCAGAAGGTGTGCGCAGCAGGTGGGGGCACCATCCGCCGAACGCCTGCAGAACGTTGCAAGCGGGGCATTTTCTCGACACCACAGGGGGTGCGAAGGGTCTTGGCCGCTTTCCGTTGCCCGCTCGCAGAGCGTGGCAGGCGTGACACTTTCTCGACACCGCACGGGTGTGCGGAGGGGGTGGGGGCGTTATCCGTCGCACGGTTGCAAAGAGTGGCAGGCGTTGCGCTTTCTCGGCGCCGCACGGGGTTCGCAGGAGGTGGGGGCGTCAGCCGCCGCACGTTCGCAAAGCGTGGCCGGCGTGGCACCTTTGAGGCGCTATCCGTCGCACGTCCGCAATCCGTGGCAGGCGCGGCGCTTGCTCGACACCGCAGGGTGTGCGCAGGAGGTGGGGACGGCATCGGTCGCACGCTCACAACGCGAGACATGCGTGCATTTTCTCGACGCAGAGGATGTGCGCAGGGGGTGGGGTGCTGAGTGATTGCAGAAGGGAGAATATTTGTACGTGGGTTCCTCTGTAGCGTTACTGCCCACTAGAAAAAAGAGGGGAAACAAGAGCCAGAGGAACGGACAACTACACCACCACCAGGACTGCCACCTCCAGCCAAGAGGCCCGCAATGCCTTCCCGAGCTGACGACAGGGGTTTCGAGCGCGGGGAAAAGGGGACCACACTACCAGGAGGACCCCCCCCCAGCTGCTCGGGCTGGTGGTGGTGGTGGTATCGTTTTTGTTGCCCCCCCAGGAAGAACAGGACAGGAATCTTGCAATGAAGCTACGTTTGCAATCGCCATCGTGCGCAGTGCGATGGACATTGTTCGGGGTGGGTTTGCAAGCGTGAGACGTTCAAGCAAATAGGCACACGGTGCCTCGGGCGAATATGCACACAGTGTGTGTGTGTGTGTGTGTGTGTGTGTGTGTGTGTGTGTGTGTGCGTGCGTGCGTGCGTGCGTGCGTGTGTGTGTGTGTGTGCGTGAATCTGCACGTCCCCAAGATGGAGGAGGACGCGGGAAACCTGAAGGAGGAACCCTGACATCCTCGCGCCGCGAAGTACCAGAATTAGCCTGGCGAAGGACCCAACCATATGCAGTTGTGAATACCGCGATTGTGGATCTCATCTTTGCTCGCGCTCCCTATGGGGCCACGAACCGTGCGAGGGGGCGTGCCGAAATGCGTGGCGGGGTCCCCAATACGAACAAAGACGATCGCTCTGAGTGCGCGGGACTGAGACCGGGTGAGCCTGAGCGCGAGTAAGTCTGATTGTGAATGTGTCTGCGTGCGAATCAGTCTACGTGCATCAATGTCGACGCCCATGTCGGCACGCCCCTCACGAGGATCGCGCCCGCTTCCTTCCCCTTCTTTTTCTGCCTCTTTGCCCGTGCACGCCGATGTCCATGGCTGCGGGCGCGGCGCCGCACTGAGTCCCCGCGACGCACGCTGGTCGCCCCGAAGGGGTCCCGGCGACGCGCGCGGGTCGTCCGCTGCGCGGAGCAGAGAGAGTGCTAGCTGGCTGGGTGATAGCGGGCAAGACTGTGGCCGCTGGGCAGAGCGACGACGGGGGCGAGCGAGGCTCTGGGCAGAGCGCAGCGCGGAATTCCCGCCTCGGGCCGCTCCTCAGGTCAAGCCTCGCGGATAAACTCGGTGAAGCCCATCTCCCTGGCGAGGGCCGTCGCCTCCCTTCTGCACCGCTTCGTGCGCGCCGCAAACTGCTCCAGCTGCTTCCGCAACGTGTGCCAAAATGGGGCGGCGGCGCCATGCGAGTTCCGCCACTGGGACCTTAGGTGGAGCTCCCTATGGGGCCACAAAGCGTGTGAGGGGTGTGCCAAAATGGGGCGGCGGCGCCATGCGAGTTCCGCCAGTGGGACCTTAGGTGGAGCTCCCTATGGGGCCACAAAACGTGTGAGGGGTGTGCCAAAATGGGGCGGCGGCGCCATGCGAGTTCCGCCACTGGGACCTTAGGTGGAGCTCCCTATGGGGCCACGAAACGTGTGAGGGGTGTGCCAAAATGGGGCGGCGGCGCCATGCGAGTTCCCCGACCTTGGTGATGGGGCCACGAAACGTGTGAGGGGTGTGCCAAAATGGGGCGGCGGCGCCATGCGAGTTCCGCCACTGGGACCTTAGGTGCCATGCGAGTTCCGCCAGTGGGACCGTAGGTGGGGCTCCCTATGGGGCCACAAAGCGTGTGAGGGGTGTGCCAAAATGGGGCGGCGGCGCCATGCGAGTTCCGCCACTGGGACCTTAGGTGGAGCTCCCTATGGGGCCACGAAACGTGTAAGGGGTGTGCCGAAACAGAAACATGCGGAGAGCAAAAGCCAGGATGGGGGAGGAGGGAGGGGGGGGAGGAGGAAGGAAGGAGACGCGGGGCGCCGTCTCTTCAAAACGAGGACCCAACACCACAGGATGGTTGGGAAACACAGTGCTACTTCTAAAAGAGCAAATTCCACATGTGCATCTCATACCCGTGTCATGTTTTGCTGAGGAGTTTTGTCTATGAGCATCTGGGTGCGAGAGCGAGTTTGTGTAGACGACAGGCGCGGCAATTTCGACGACGACAGCGACGACTTCAAACACGCCCCCCTCCTCCTCATCTTCTGGACATGTTTCAGGAGAGACGAGGGGAACACAAATGGAAGAACCTGGGGGAGCGCCTCTTGCGTTTCCCCCCGCGGCTATTTAGGCAAGCGCGCGTTGCATTGCTGCGCCCGTTGTCTGGCGTCCCACTCGCAGCGCCTGCTGGCAATAGGCGTTCCCAGTGCCGCGCCGCTTGTATCGCGGCAGCCACTTGTGTGGATGAGCCTTAGCGCGCGTGACTCTAAACGTGGGTGATTTGAGTGGCAGCGAGCCAGAGTTTGAGCGGACCCGGATATGACCGAGAAGAGTTCGCGAGTGAGCGAGTCTGGATATAGCCAGTCGGAGTACGAGTGGGTCTGAGTATGAGTGAGTCTGTGTGCGGGCGAGTCTAAGCGCGAGCGGGTCCGAATGTGAGCTAGTATGAGTACGGGTGGGCTTAAATTTGAGTGTGATGCTGACGAATCTGAGCATGAGTTATCCTGGTGCGTATAGTATGAGTACGACTGAGTATTGAGGGCTGGTGGGTCTGAATGCGAGTGAGTCTGGGTGTGTGATGGTTGGGGTGTGGGTGAGTCTGGCTTTGGGCGATATTGAACAGGAGCGAGTACGAATGTACAAGTGTTGGTATGAACGGATCAGAATACGAGCGGCCTTGGAAGTGATGAGTGAGTTTGAGTGCGGAAGAGAGACTGATGGGTAAGTCCGAGTGAGCACGAGTGTGCCCGAGTGGGGACCAGGGGAAGGAGGTGAATGAGTGAACGGGTGACGGGCAAACACGTCGAAGGACAAATCGTGGGGGAGGCACCCCCCAACCTGAGCGCGAATCCTGGAGTGTCCCCATCTCTGGCGGCTCCGCCATGGGGTGCCCAAGTGCCACGCCACGATTACACCACAAGAAAAAAACATCGGGGGTGCGGGGCAGAACAAAAAGGCAAGCCGTTTGAGACATCCCCCCAATCCGAGCGCGAATCCTGGAGTGTCCCCAACCCTGGCGGCACCTAGACACGCAAACCGTCGGAGGCATCCCCACAATTTGTGTGCGAACGGAAAAGTACCTCTTGGCGACACCCCGTCGGAGTGCTGAAACCAGCGCCTCGCCTGAGACATCCGCACGAACCGCCTTGAAAGCAACGGATGTTTGGCACCTTAACAGGCAAACCGCTTGAGATATGGAGGAGCGATATACCCCCTGGCGGCTCCCCGCTGGAGTGCTGAACCCAATGCCTCGCCTGAAAATTCCTAACAACTTGTGGGAGAAACGGATTTGACGTAGTCTGAGTATGAGCTAATATGGATGTAGATCGGTCTGCGTCTGAGTGAGTTTGAGTGTGAGCGAGTCTGAGTGTGATGAGTGAGTGCGAGTGTGAATTTGGGGAAGAGGAGAGAAAGGCAGGTCGGGAAGGAGGAGGAGCAGGGAGGAAGAGTAGACGCGGTTTGAGTAAAAACACGAGCCCCAACTTTAGGATATGGGGAACAACACGACGGGAGTTTGTTTGAAGCAGTCTTCGATTTCTCGGGGGCCTTGCAGGGCCCAGGGACCGTCAAAGAAAGACTCAGGAAGAAAAGCGGGTCCTGGGGAAACGGCCAGACGTCTTTGGGAAGTAACTTTGTGAAACATCACCACGTCGGATGTATGGGGAGAGAGGCGGAGGACGCTGGGGGACAGAACAATATGCACAACTGGGGTGCGTAGGGGCGGGAGGGGAAGGGAGGGGAGCAAGGAGGAGGAGCCGTGACAGGAAGACAGGGCGGTTGATGATGAGCAGTGTTCAAGGACGAACAGAAGGAGGAGAACGAGGCCTGGACATCCGAACAGCGTGGCTGCCAGGCAAGAGGCCTGGACCCCTCCCCCTGACGGGCTTTTCATCCTGAGTCGTTGTTGGGCGGTACCTATTCAGACACGGAGCAAGGCCTCCCGTCGACACGATCGTGCCGCGATGCGAGGAGGCCAGGTTGGGGAGCTCAGGGAGCGCAGGGGCACAAGGAGCAACAGGGGGAGCAATGCCCTGACCCTCCAGAGTGCTAAACGTCGAAACCTCGACTGGAATTGGAAATCAGTCCCAGAGTTCCGATGAAGTAATTTCCAATACGGGGACCACAGAAGTCTCGACCAGATCCCTGGGACCGGCTTTCCATCCTGAGTCGTTTTTTGACGGCCCTGGGGCCCTGCGAGGGCCCCCAGAGGCTGAAAATAACTGACACTTGCCGTGCTCATTTGTTCAGTACGCTGGATCTTTGGTGGAGAAGGTCAGGGGGGGCGCCCGTAGACGTTTTTCGGCCCTGGTGCGTCTGGCAAGCGCCGCCTCCCCCGAGACAAGTGCATGCCCGGCGCGGCGGAGCCCGCGCCCTGCCTCGGCTGAGGCCGCTACTGGCAGCTAGAGGCCGCGGCAGCATGCACGGCGCGTGGTCCGGCCAGGACGCGGCCTTGGCGATGGCGCAGTCCCCGCCGGCCGCCCCGCCCGACGCGAGCATCGGAGAAGAAGAACGGGCGTAAGCATGAGCCCTTGAAGAACGCAACACGTCGGTTTCTCCCAGTTCTCGGCCTCCAGGGGCCCTCGCTGGGCCCCAGGACCGTCGAAAGCCGGCTCGGGAAAGTCGACTTGGGAATATGTCGAGACTTCTGGGGAACCCACATGGTAAAAATCAAGGCATCGGATCTGTGGTCGCGCGGACTTCTTGGATCTGCGCTGAACCCCCTTGGCGCCGCCTCCGTCGCCGCCCCAGGGCAGGAAGGTCCAGCGCAGATCCGAAGAGTCCGCGCGGACCTCCAAAAGCTCATGCTCACGCCGGCTCTTCCCCTCCTGGAGCAGCATGTCCCTGGACATGGCGGCGCAGCAGTACCTGGCTACCGGCACGCTGCCGGGCACGGAGGCCTGGCAGCCGGCACCGGCGCCCCCGCCGCCGCCCCCGCCGCAGTCTGGGTACCAGCCGCCGTCGCTGCCATCGCTCCCTCCGTCGCAGATCACGGGCGAGGCCATCGGATGGCTGGTGCCCAACGACCGCGCGCCGCGGCTGATCGGGAAGCAGGGGGCGGGGCTGAAGCAGATCCGCGAGGCGTTCGAAGAATATGAACCTGCATAAGCATAAGCTTCCGGAGCTCGGCTCGGAGTTCTTGGGTCTGCGCGCGGCGTCTCCAGCGCCGCCCCTGCCGCGCTCCGCGCTCCAGGGAGGGGGGCCCCAGCTCCGGCACGAGAAGTCCGCGCGGAGCCCCGAACGTTTGTGCTCATGCCGTTTGTTCTTTCCTCGAGGAGGAGGGGGAGGAGGAGGAGGAGGAGGAGGAGGAGGAGGAGGAGGAGGAGGAGGAGGAGGAGGAGGAGGAGGAGGAGGAAGGAGGAGGGGAGGAGGGGGAGGAGGAGGAGGAGGAGGAGGGAGGAGGAGGAGGAGGGAGGAGGAGGAGGAGGAGGAGGAGGAGGAGGAGGAGGAGGAGCAGGAGGAGGAGGAGGAGGAGGAGATGCCGCCTGTTCTTCCTCCGGAGGCGTGCAGGCAGCGGGTCGAGGCCCGCCCGGAGGCGGACCCGAGCAGCGCGCTGCCTCCCGCGTTCTGCCGCGTCTCCATCTCGGGCAGTGCCGACGGGGGGTCACACTGGTGGGGGTCACCAGCTCCTGGAGGTCAGCTGTTCTCTTCCCCCTATCTCTCGGGGGCGGCAAAGAGGGGGGTGATGACTAGGGGGGGTGGATATCATGGCGTGGGCCATGATATTTCCCCAGATTTTATGGCGCCTCTTCTTGTTCCATCACGTCCCTGGCCCCCCCTGCTGGGCCGCGCACATGCCGCCGGTCATTATTTGCACCCCCCCCTCTTGGACACCCCCCTCTTGGCCGCTCCCGACTGAAGGCGGTGGGACTGCTCAGAAACCCTTGCACCTTCGGAGAAGTTTCTTGTGTCTCCGGGAAAAGCTCCGAAAATTTCTCAGAAGGCCCGGGGACTTCCGAGCCCAGGAAGGCCCCCCCACGCTCGCCGCCAACTATCGTCCCTCTTCACCTGACCTCTGCTGTGGTCGACTGGTCGAGTCTTGCCGCATCTCTTCCAATAAAGCCGCACGTCGCCAGGACGCATTGGCGAGGCCGCATCATTTCGGGCACTGTCAGAGGCGGCACCTGTTCTGGACCCCCTTATCCACGCCTTGGCGGAAGTGGTACGTGGCGCGCTTGGACTTGGCCCCTCTCACTTTCATGTCGCAATCACACGCGATTGTGAATCAGGAGTCCAGGATCAAAGCTTGAGGATGTCTTTGTTTGACGTTCAGGGTCGTTTTTGGGGTGGGCTCTGGTGTGTCCTGGGAGCCCAACGTTCTCAAAGAAGTGGCGACTCCCCTACTGTGGAGACCCCCCTTTGGCATTGCCTGGCCATTCCAGGGCCGCACGACGCGATGTGCGCGGGCTTCGCGCAAGCCCTGCAGAGGGCGTACGACAAGGACATGCAGGAACGGCCCCAGGACCCGATCGCAGTGGAGATCCGCATACCTCCGAGCTGGGTGGGGATGGTGATCGGCAAGGGCGGCGAGAAGCTCAAGGCGGTCAGGTCTGGTAAGGCTTCGGGTTGTGCACGGCAGGATCTCCCAGGCAGTCCCGACTGGCCTCAACAGGTCCCCCGCGCAGCCAGGGGCGGTCTCAACGCCTCAACATTCGGGGCGCGGATCGCCCGCCGCCGGAGGCAGCGCCAGGGCCTTGAGACCGCCCCGGGCGACTCGGAGGGCATGCTGAGGCCAGCCGGGGACTGCCTGAGGGGGCTGTCTCTGCGCGGCCCGACGCCTCACCAGTCAGGTCCACCTACTCTGTGGAGGCGACGGTCGGGAGAGAGCCCGTGTGGCATGCCGCGACCGGCGCGGAGGAGCGCGCCCTGACCCTCACGGGCCCCGGGCCCGCGCTGCCGCAGGCGCTGCAGCTGCTGATCACGTCGAACAGGGGCCCGGGCGCTGGGGGGGCGCCGGCGGGGCTCGGCAACGTGGCCGGGTTGTCCAGGGCGGCCTGGAGCGTCGGGCGGGTGGTAAGGTCGACTACACGTAAGAGTGACCCGTCGCCGGAGTGACCTTTGGTGCGGGTTCACCGGGGTCCCCCCGACCGCTGAGAGCGATGCGATAGTGGCTGTTCGCACCCTTGGATTCGGCCACCTTAAACCCCCTCAGTCCGCGCACTAAAGGTCACTTCTACCCAGGGTCACTCGTGCGTGTCGCCGATAAGGGGGGTGACCCAAATGGGGGGTGTAGAAAAGGGCCCTAAAGTGGCCCTGTAGGGCCACTTTTGGAGCCGGCAGGGGCCCCATTGTGGCCCCGAAGTGCCCATTTGGGTTTTTTGTTTTTCCCCGCCCATTTGGGTCACCCCCAATACCACCCGCCCGACAGGAGGGGGGTGATGCCTGGGGGTGGGGGTTGAACGCCATGGTCTCTCGGCCACGCGCAGAGGGGACAGAGGGAGGGGGGAGGGCTTCTTGGAAGCAGCCCAGCTTCTTGGAAGGCGCGGGCCTTGGTTGTAGATGTAGGTCGGGCGCCTTTTGAGAACCAGCCTCCTTTTAAGAAGCCCTCACCCCTCCCCCTACCCCCATTCTGCGCGCCGCCAAGCCAGGGCCATGAAATCCCCCATGATCCCATGGCCCCCTCTCCTTCTCTCTAAACGTCCTCAGGTTGAAGGCCTTCTAAGTGGGGTCGGAGTAGATGGATGGGGTCAGAGAATCGCGCCGCACCGTCGATTCTTCGACGACGCATTGTTGAAGCACCAGCGATGTCGACGATGCATCGGCGCTGTCGGCGTGGAGCAGATCGGGCTCCACCGGCGCCGCATCGCCGATGCATCGGCGATGCGGCGCGATCCTCCGACACCATCTACTCGGATCCCACCTGGGAGGCCTGGACTGGACCAGCTCTCGTCCGCACACGTGCCTCGAGCCATGATCTGTGACCCCCTATGTTGGACGCCCCTCTCTATGACACCCCCGAGGTTGGCAGGGCTGGCCGGGATACCAGGCCTTTCACAGCTCACCGCTGGAGCCTCACCGCAGGGCGAGCGCGCCGACAACTCGAACTCGGCCCCGAGGGATCCGGACGAGGTGCGCATTCAGGTCGTGATACCGAGCCAGCTGGCGGGCGTGATCATCGGGAAGGGGGGCGAGAGGATCAAGCAGACCGGAACGCAGTCGGGGTGCTACGTGAAGATGGCGGCCAGAGAGGAGGGTGCCGAGAAGCGCTTGTGCATCGTCAGTGGGGCGCTCGAGCCCTGCATTGTCGCGCAGACGGCCCTCTGGGAGCAGCTGAAGGAGGGCTACGCCTCCAACAACATGGGAGAGCCGCAACAATTCAGCACCACGATGCTGCTTCCGAGGGTGATGTGTGGCGCTGTGATCGGGAAGCAGGGTGCGACGGTGAATGCGCTCCGTCAGCAGACGGGGGTGCAGATCCAACTCGACAACGAGAGCAGGGAGGGTGATACCAGGCCCTGCAAGATCGAGGGCGGGCTCATGCAGGTGGCGCTCGCGCAGCGGATGGTGCACGCCGTGATCAAGCAGGACCGGCCACGTGCAGAAGGAGGTAGGGGGAGGGAGGAAGGCTTCTTGGAAGCACCCCTGCTTCTTGGAAGGCGCGGGCCTTGTCTGTAGATGTAGGGCCGGCGCCTTCTAAGACGCAGCCTCCTTCTCAGAAGCCTTTCCCCCTCCCCCTACCTCCCTCTGCGCGCCGCCAAAAGGAGTGCGCCAAGCACCCCGAGAAGCTCGCCGCCATGCAGGCGGGAGGCTCCCAGGGCGCCGGGAGCCAGCCGCCCTCGGCCCTGGCGACGCTCGCGCAGGCGCTGCAGCAGCAGCCACACCTGGCCGCTCAGCTCGGGCGGCATGGGGCTCAGAAGTATACACCACCAGCACCTCCCTCGCCCCCTCCCTCACCCCCTCCCCTGCCCAGGAGAGAGGCAGAGGAGGGTCGAGGAGAGAGGAGGAAGAACGGAGGTGGTGATGGTGCACACTCTTGCGGCCCGCAGGCTGGGCCAGGCGTCCGCGGGGCTGGCGCCCCCACCGCCGCCCCCGGCGCCACCCATGGCGGACCCCCCCGCGATGGAAAAAAAACAACGGCATGAGCACACAGTCGGTCCCGGTTGTCAGGTCGACCATGCCAAATCGAGGGTGCCCACGTCTCCTGCCCATCTCGCCCTGTGCAAACCGCATGTCCTCTGGTGCTTTCGGGCCACGTTGCCGTCGGGAGAGTCGGGTGTCCTCTCGGGTGTCCTGCCCAATCGAGTCCGACTGTAAGTCTTCGACGGTCCGCGCGGATTTCTCTGGATCTGCGCTGGGCCCCCCTGGCGCCGCCTCCGGCGCCGCCCCCGGCGCGCACCGCGCGCCAGGGAGGGGGGGGGACCCAGCGCCGATCCCGAGAGATCTGCGCGGACCGTCGGAGGCTCACGCTGATGCTGATTCTTCTTCCTCTTTGAGGCTGGCTTTCAAGAGCAGCCTCCGGCGAAGAGGGCCCGCACCGACGGGGGGCCGCCCAACATGTCCCACTTGGGCCCCGAGTGCGAGACGAAGCTGCTCGTGCCGGAGGCGTCGGCGGGCTACGTCATCGGCACAAAGGGCGCCAATCTGCAGGCCGCGAGGGAGACGTTCGGCGTGCACGTGAAGGTCGTCAGATCGGAGGAGGCACCCCACTGGATCGGGGAGCGGATGTCAGGAGGGGAAAAACACACAGACACAATGAATCGTCGATTCCTCAGAAAATATGGTAAATATGGGAAGTGGGGGGGAAGACAAAAACCCAGAAACCACAATGGAAATATAGGGAATCCTTTTATTTGTGTGTATTTATTTGTGTGTCCTGGGGCCCCTTGAGGATGGTCATCGTGAAGGGGCCGAGCGGCACGCGCCCTCCAGCCGTGGAGCACGTCGCGAACAACGCGTTCGCGAAGCAGCAGCCCAACGACAACGTCTGCCTCAAGCTCCTGGTCCCGTACGAGAAGCTCGGGTACGTCGTGGGGGAGGAGTCCGTTCAGGGGAACAAGAGGTGGCATAAACATAAAAAAAAACTCGGAGGTCCGCGCGGATTTCTCGGATCGGCGCTGGGGCCCCCCGGCGGCGCCTCCGGCGCCGCCCCTGGCGCGCTCCGCGCGCCAGGGAGGGGGGGGGCCCCTCCCCGTCCTCTCCCTCGCGCGGGGGGAGCCGTGGCCCCGGCGCCGAGTACGCTGATTGCCACTGTCCCCCCTCCCCGGCAGTGTGACTCCCAGCCGGCCGGCGTCTGGGCCTCGCCTGCTCTGAGTCGCGTGGTGTCGAGAGACGCGGCTCCGGCGGTCCTGGCCCATTCAAACATTAATGTCATTCGTCTTCGTAACTCGACTCGAACGGGCGCGTTTGATGCTTCCTAGTTCGCCTGAGGCGTGGGGCGGCTTCATGCCTTGTGGAGCATCTGCACTGTGCCTTGACCCCATTGTCTCACCCGCCGAGTGTTGTTCCCCGCCGTCGGCACTCAACCATGGGGTTGACTGCCACGGGAGTGTGGTCGCCAGATCGCCGCCCAAGGCCCTGAGCACCCGCGGGGTTCCAGAGATCTCTGTGGGCCTGAAAAGAAAAAAACATGGATTCGCATTTTCCTACCCTGAGCCCAGCTACCGGGTGGGATTCGGAGGTCGCCGTGGCGATCGCCGCGGCCATGAGCCAAGGAGTGGCATGCCCGTTCATAGACCCATCGGCTCATCATGTTACAGTGTCGCTTCGGAGAGTTGTAGACGTATGGGCAGTCTCATTTTTGTTGGGCCAGGGGTAGATTATCACGCAACCAAGGAGGGCGCCATACTCCGATGGCTGATGGACAACTTCGGCGTCATCACAGAGGTGGGAACTGAAAACGTGCAGGGCGACCACGTCTTCATGCTCCACGGGCCGAAGGCCAACGTGCTCCAGGCCGCACGCCAGACGACCTCGCTGCTCGACACGGAGGCGTCGGCCGCGGCGCCTCAGGAGCAGCCTGAGCCACAGGCGGCGCTCCCGGTCCCCGCGCCGCCACCGGTGGACCCCGCCACTGGCATGGCGCCGATGACTGCTTCGACCGAGGCGCAGTACCTGGCGCAGTACCAGCAGCAGCTGTAGGCGCAGCCTTGTGCCGCCCGGCAGGCCCCTGCTGCCACGCGGCCATGCCCCCCAGGTATCCGCGGCGACGGGAGAAGTCACGGCGCCGTAAGACAGCTCGACGGGAACCCTGGACCCCGCCTATTCTGCCGCACTTGATTCGGCGAAAACAGTATCAGTATCCGCGGCCTCGCAGGCCGGGATCCTGGGCCGCGAACCCGCGGATATACTCGGAGTTTTGTTCGCGAGTGCCCCGCGCGGAACGTATCCGTGCGACCGCTTGCCGACGGGATCGCGCCTTGGAATCTCGACCGCGACGGCGTGGGTATGGATACGCTCGCCGCTCGTGAGCATGTCTCTCGAGCACGGGTGGAACGAACCGCGAGGGCCCCGGGGTCTCGAACGTCGGCCACGCGCAAGGGTAACCTTTCGGAGGAGTGACCTTTTTGGTGCGGGCCCACTGAGGCTTGCGAGCTTGAATTGACCAGCCCATCCAGAAGCGATGCCCAGGGGTGTGGAGGTGATCAGGGAAGTGGGGGAGCATGCAGAGGAACAGAGGGCGGGGGAAGCCGTCCGATACCCAAAAAGGGGGAGGATAGTGGATGAGGAGGAGGAGGAGGAGGAGGAGGAGGGCCAAGAGGAGGAAGGGGGGAGAGACAGCGGACAAGGAGGAGGAGAAGGAGGAGGAGGAGGAGAAGGGGCATCCTGGCGAGCCCAGGGCCGTCTTTGAGAGCGTAATGTGTGCCTCCTTGGATCCTCTTGAAGCCTCTTGGGGGCCTCTTGGGAGCCTTTTGGAGGCTTCCTCGGCGCCTCTTGGGGCCATCTTGAAACCTCTTGGGACCATGTTGGGACGCTCTATGGCGCCTTAGGAGCGCTCTTGGCGCCATCTTGGAGGAGATCGATCAAAGAAGAGGGGTTCCTCGATTACACCCCCCTCGGGAGCTCCAAAATGGCCTCTTGGGGTGCTCTTAGGGCGCTGTTGGAGCGCTCTTGGGCGCTCTTGGGCCGTCGTTGGGCTCTCTTGGGCCTCTCCTGGGGCCCTCTTGGGCCATCTTGAAGCCATCTTGAAGCCTCGGATGGCCATCGAAAACGAAAAGGCAAGAAAGCGAAACACATGTATTCCCTTTAAGTTTTGGAAGGGGATTAGCCTATTCGGGGCCTCCTTGGGGAGCTCTTTGGCCACTTGGAGCCGTCTTGGACCGGTCTTGGGGCCTATTGGATCATCCTGGGATCCATCTTGAGGAACCTTTGGATATCTTGAGCCATCTTGGAGTTCATCTTGGGCTCTCCGAGGCGCTCTTGGAGCCGTCTTGGGCCATCTTGGACGCTCCAGTCCCTCGCGGGATCCCCCGTCCAGGTCCAGGGGAGGGGGTAGGGAGAGGGGTCAAGCTGCCCACCCGCCCGCAAGCCGTCTAGCACTCCCACCCGCCCTCCCAACATAGAAGTAACACCCGCGCCTGAGCATGTTCAGCGGTCGTCTTTTGATGGGCAGCTACTGGGAACCAAAGCCGACCCCAGGTGCGCGACGCGTGGGCGAGGTGCGCCACGCGTGCCAGGGGCGCAACGCGCGCCGGGTACCCCTGGGGCCCGAGCGTGCCAGGCACGTCTGGTGCGCCAGATGCGCCACGTGCTCCGAGTGCGCCAGGTGTGCCACACACTCCAGCCGCGCCAGGTGCGCCACGTTCGGAGCACGTGCAGAGTGCGTTAGGTGCGCCTGCGCACGTGACAGCGTACATCGTGAAACATGTCGGCCCCCACTACCCTTGTCGAAAACCTATGCCCATCATTGTGTCTGGTGGGCCTGCGCTCAGCAGGCCACCCCCGCGGTCCCTGTCAAAAGCCACTTGACAGTGATCGCGGGGTGGCCGCGCATGATCCAGATTTAGCCGCAAGGTGCATTGTGTATTGTTTAGTGTCAGGGATGGTAGCCCTGCGCACAGCAGGGAATATGCTGACACACCCGCCGTCCCTGTCAAAAACCATACAAAGTGTTCGCGTGCCTCGCGAACATGACTCAAGACTTTGCCTCAACGGATGGTGGGGTGGGGGGAGGGGCGCATCGGGTTGGCCGCGCATGCTCCAAATGTGGAGGCAGAGTGCGTTTTTTATTGTTTTTGTTTGGGGACGGTGTGGGGGGGGGCGCATAGGGTCGGCATGGTTCCAGGTTGGCCGCCGGTCGGGTGGGAGAGGGGGTGTATATTTATAGGAAACAGTGAGAAACCCCTCCTCGAAGGGGAAGAGGGGCAGATGGAAGACAAAACACGCTAGACCGCCCACGCCCTAAATGGCTGGTGGGATTTCCCCCTGCCCCATCTCCCCGCACCCCTCCCCGAACCTTCACGCCACGCACACACGGTCATTCTCGCCTATATTGGGCACGTTCGGTCAGAAAGCAACCTCCTTGAGGCTGCTCAACCGAACATGTCTTATCACAAGAAGGCCCCACGAACCAACTGAAGCCGTTGGGCAGCTAAGGAAGTCGATTGAAAAGATGGACGGCCAGCGCGCCCCATATCCAAGACGTGTAAGACTGGCAGAGGGCCGATGGGGAGGTTTTGGGAGGGGGAGGTGGAACCACCGACTGGACAAACATCGTGGCAACCCTCTCCATCCATCGAACAACCTCTCTCGGTCACACTATCTGCGGGCCTTACAGCCGGTTCGTCGATCCCAGTTGGATCTAGGATCTGGGATTTGCTCCATTAATTCGATCCGAAGTTCGAGTCCAATGAGAATCCAATTGGAGACAGCTGGATCTGGGATGTGCCCCATTCCAGTTCGATTCTAAGTTTATTTCAATCGGAATCTAATTGAAATCAGCGGGATTCGGGACCTGCTGAAGTCTAACTCGATTCCGGTTAGATCAGAGTAGGAATCTGCCCAATTCGAATTCGATTTCAGTTCTATTACAGTAGGAATCCAACTTCAATCAAATGTATCTGGGATCCGCTCAAGTCCAATCAGGTTCTAATTCGATCCAATCGGAATTGATTTGGAGTCGGCTGGGTCCAAGATCTGCTCAATTCCAAGTCGATTCGAATTATATGTTGATTGATCGGAGTCAAATTGGAAGCAGCTGGACCTGGGAGCTGCTCGGTTCTATTTTGATCTGAAGTAATCCCATCAGGAATCAAATCGGACTCAGCTGGATCTGGGATGCGCCCATTCCAGTTAGTTTCTGTTTATATCATAGCAGGAATCTAATTGAAACCAGCTGGATCTGAGCTCTGCTCCATTCCAATTCGATTCTAGTTAGACCCCAATAGGCATCAACTTCAACTTAGAATCAGCTGGATCTGGGACCCGCTCAATTCCAATTCAATTCGAAACGGAATTAATTTTGAATCAGGCGGACCTGGGACCTGCTTCATTCCAAAATAATCTGATTAGATCCGATTGGGATCCAATTGGAACCAGCTGGGTACGGGGTCTGCTGCATTCCAATTATATTCCAAAAATGATTCCAAAATCAATCTAATTTTATCCAGCTGGACCTGGGATCTGCTCAAACTCGATTCCAATAGGAATCCACTTGGGCTCAGCTGGATCTGTGATCCGCTCCACCCCAATCATGTTCTCTTTAGATCCGTAAGGGCTTTGCCCCATGCCGCCGGCCCCCTGTCTCGGATAATGGGAGATGCAAAATCTAAATCATGAGGTCTGGGGGCCGCCGTGAAGCAGTGTCCAGAACTGTTTGTTTTTCGACCCTGACCCTACGGATCTGCGTCACGGGTGCCACTGCATTGCAGAATGTGGCAAAACCCATATGTTTTTGGACCCTGACCACACAGTTCTGCGTGAGGGGCGCCGCAGAATTTCAGAAATGTTGCAAATCCCATGTGTTTTTGGACCCTGACCCCGCCGAACTGCGTGAGTGGTGCCACCGCATTTCAGGAATGTGGCAAAACCCGTGTGTTTTTGCACCCTGACCCTGCCGATCTGCGTGAGGAGCGCCACCGAATTTCACAAATGTGGCAAATCCATATGTTTTTTTGACCCTGACCCCGCCGATCTGCGTGAGGGGTGCCGCAGAATTTCAGAAATGTCGCAAATCCCATGTGTTTTTGCTCCCTGACCCCGCCGAACTGCGTGAGTGGTGCCACCGCATTTCAGGAATGTGGCAAAACCCGTGTGTTTTTGCACCCTGACCCCGCCGATCTTCGTGAGGAGCGCCACCGAATTTCAGAAATGTGGCAAATCCATATGTTTTTTTGACCCTGACCCCGCCGATCTGCGCGACGGGCGCCACAAAATTTCAGAAATGTCGCAAATCCCATGCGTTTTTGGATCTTGACCCTGCCGAACTGCGTGAGTGGTGCCACCGGATTTACGAAATGTTGCAAATCCCGTGTTGCACCCTGACCCCGCCGATCTGCGTGAGGGGTGTCAATGTTCACCCACCCCAGCAATTGAGAGCATACGATTTGGGCGTGGTAGAAATGCCCGTTTTGGGCCTCCCGCCCTCGCGCGGTCCATCAACAGGGAACAGCAAGCAGAGAAGTCAACAAGGAACAGTAAGAAGCAAGAAGCAGAATTGTCACAGTGGAAACAGGAAGCTGCAACTGGTACAGGACACTGCGGACCTTCGCCCTACAGCCTGGTGGCCCCACAAGGGGGCCGGCGGATTTCGGAATCCAGACCCAAATCGGAATCGAATTGGAACCAGCTGGATATACGATCCGCTTCACCTTAAGAATGTTCCAATTGTTTTCCCATCAATCAGCTGGATCTGGATTCTGCTCAGTTCCGCTTAGATTTTCTCCGGGTGGGGAGAGAAACCCAGACACCAAGACAATCGCTGTGAAAACGAAGGGTTCGCGATGCCGCGGGTACCCAAACCTTGTGTTGTCATGTGCTAGTTTGGGATTTCTGGGATGAGAGTTGATGAGCCATGTTGTTGTCGTTTGGTTTTGTTGGGGGGATCTTGTGGCCTTCATCTCCGAGATGAAAGCAAAGGGTTTTCTCACTTCTCATCCCAGAATTCCCAAACACCCAAGTCAAAACACACAAGGTGCCCGCAC